CGGCTGCGGCGGCTAAAGCGCCTCTTGTCTCTGCGCACTGAACGACTCGAGAACCCAAAGGCTCTTCTAAGAGCCACCCACTTTTTTCTTAACAAGAGCTGGAACGCTGCTGTTTGTGAAAAGATAATTTCTGAGCAGCTTGTAGTGCGTGTTAAAGTCTTTATTGTTGCTGAGTCTGTCTATATCTTGAAAACGGATAGCTTAATGCTTGTTTCTACTTAGTAAAAGCTATGTAAAACTGAAACTTGTGTAAAATCTAGACAGCTCGGTGTGTTACTTTCTATGCTATTAAATATGGTAAGAAAACGTCATTGATTTTGTTTTTGTTTGTTTTCCCACGAGAACTATGATTTTATTATTTTTTTTTAAGGGGACCTAGGTCACTGGCAGAAAGAGTAAAACTTCCTTATCCCTGAAGGAATATACATGACAAAGTGTATTATATATTTTAGGAGTGTCTCGTACTGACTAGGGGAAGCTGAAGAGCCATGTCTACTTCTCTTTTCAAGATTATGTTATTGATAGATATGATAGGCCATATCTCTCTCTCCTTTCAGGGGGCAGCGAGAGGAAGGAATTAGCTTCTGCCTCGCACAGAAATCTCTCAACTCGCCTGGTTCTGGGTGCACTTTTTTAAAGTGCTGCTGTCCAGTTCACTTGTTCATAATCAGTGGTGGCATATAAGGTCCAAAAGCTATTTTTATAGGATTTAAACAGACTGCTGAAAATCAAGCTTTTAATAGGGCACCGTCACGTCTTTACAAAGAAAGAAGGCAAATAGGACGCGGGGGGGGGGGGGGGCGTCGCATACACCCTAGTTCCCTGCATACAAAATAAAGAAGCTCTTTATTTTACCATCATCATTCTTCTCAAAGTATGTGAAACGTCGTTTTACCTGACTGGAGGCAGTATTTATGATTTTTTTTTAATATATGCAAGAGGATAAGATTGTTTGCAGTTTAAAGAACATCTCGTATTTGGTATGCAAACATTTCTTAATTTGTCAGGAGCGTCACAAGGGGGGGAATGAGGGAAAGAAGAGATGTGAGAGATTTATGTGGAAAGAAATTAAAACGAAAATATATATAATAATAATTAAAAAAAAAGAGGCAAACAGTGAAAC